CCTCTCCCGCTGCCCCCCGTGGAGGCCCAGCCGTGTCCTGCCGGGGCGGACGCGCTCTCCGGGGAGCCGTGGCCCTGGGCAGGCCGAACCCAGGCCCTCCCCTGCGCAGGGGCCCGGGGACGCTGTCCCACACCCCTTCCGTGGGGGTCTTCTGGGCGTCCTCTTCTGGGAAGAAGGCCTCTCCCAGCCCCACCGCCCCGCAGGAGGGAAGGGGATACGCTGTGGACCAAATGTCTCGGGAGGGTTGCACTGACAAACAGGAGTGTCCAAATCCTGATTTATTTATTTTTTTTTAATATAGAAAAACATATATTCACTATCTATCATGGTAAATTTTTCATTTCCAGCTAATTCTGTTTTCTTTTTTTTTTTTTTTTTTTTTAAAACCTAGGCTTGCTGGTGAATTTAGCAGTGAAAAGGGCCATGCATTTGTTGAACAACTCCACAAAGTGAGTATTAATGATAAGCCTCAACCAGTGTAGTCACTTCATCTGTGGTATTGAAACATATTCTTGAACTCTCTAACTTCAGACACAGTGCTCCCACTGACACGCAGAAGTTTAATAAATTTACTATTAAAATAAATAAATACTTAAGACACTGACCCTTGATCTACCGGTTTCCTTCTTGGCTAAAGAACTTTATTTCTTAGAGAGTAATCAAGTGATTAGTTATGGGCAGAGAAACATATCTCTAGATTTATTCAGACCTGTTACTGTACACAGTCATGGACACAAGTCTTGTCACATCGCCTCAGATTTGATATTGGGGCAAAGTAACCATGTGGGCATGATGGTGGGAGACAGCTCCCACGGTGGCACTCTGTGAGTTTTGCTAATTAGCTTCACTGTGCACAAGAACACAGAAGCAGCTAATCAGAGACCTTAAAAAGCTTTACCAGACTGCCTCTCGGGTACCCTGGGCTGTGGAGAAATGCCCCTCTTGGAAGCGGACGTGACATGAAGTCGGCGCTGCCTGCAGCTGTTCGTCAGTGCCTTTCCTCCAGAGGTGACTGGTTCGGTGTTCTACCAGCAAAGGGATTATATGAGCGCTCCCCAGTCTGCTTTCTGCAAAGTCAGCCAGGGTGGTTTAACGTGCCAGTGAAAACAAGTACATGCGCTAATCTGGCTTCTCATAAAGCAATTAGGGAGCACTTATCTGATCCCCCCTGCCAGCAGGCTGGGGGATGATGAACAACAAGGGTAGGATCTTCTTTAATCAGCACAACCAGCTGTCGCCTCCCAGAGCTTGCTGCAGTTGTACCGGAGCATCAAAGGCTGGTTAATGAAAGCGCTTCTTATTTTTGTCCTGATTGCCACATCTAGGTCCAGTGTATGCTGCAGGATGTGGGCTCCAACATCGCGACGCCTCTCTCCTCAGCCAGGGCGGCTCACTTAAGTAAGCCCCACAGTACCTTTCCTGAAATAACCGTTCTTGGATCACAGCTGTCCTTCTAGACTGGCGCTGGGGAGGCTCTTCTGGTATGTGGTAGTTGGAGCTGCCCAAGGGCTGCTCCGCAGCGCGTGTCTGGGTGTGAATGAAGTCACACGCGCTCCCACAAGCTGCTGCGGTTGTGTGGCTCAGGCGATGTACGCCGTCCTGAGCCACTGCCCCAGCGCCGACACCCAGCCACGGCTGCCGAAGGGGGAGCCAACCCTGTTCTAATAGGAGGAGATTTTTGGAGGATTTTTCTGGGGGTGCTTTCTTGGGACATAGTGATCCAAGAAATGAGGAAGTAGAGCTCTGTCTATAGACTGAATCACTTCTGCGTTTCTTTTAGTTGATTCTCCTTTTCCCTCTGTAGAACGAACATCTTTTAGTGAGAAGCCAGTTCTGGAGCTGGAGCAGTGGATTGACAGTTACTCAGAGCAGCTTCCTCCGCTCAGAGCTTTCATCTTGCCAGTAGGTACTGCTTATGCCTCTCGCTGATGGGAGAAGGCTTGCTTTGTTAGGGTGAATCTGCTCACAACAGGTTGGGAGGCTATTTGCGTGGAAAATAACCAAAAGAAAAGCAGAGAGAAGGATCTATTTGAGTTAAATTTCCACATCCTACTGCATTCAGATAGCGCTTCCCAGTTGCCTTGCTGTAACATAGGGTTCAGTTGCACGCGTGTGTGAGATGTGATAAGCTTTGCTGCAGTCGCACAATGAGGTGGACGGCTATATCTGTTGTTAGCAGACACTGATGCGCTGTTTCATTGTTGTTTCAGTCAGGAGGTAAAAGCAGCGCTGCTCTCCATTTTTCCCGAGCTGTCTGCCGCAGAGCTGAAAGGTGGTGAGTGTTGGCTGTAGTGTAACAGAATAAAATTGATAAAAGGTGATCAGAATGCCACAATGATAGCAAATCATTGCAGTCGGAGCAATCAACCGTAGCTGTATGGCATTCGGCTAGAGCTCGAGTCGAACTTCCTATGTTTGTATTAGTCAAATTCCAGGAGTGCAGTCAGCAAAAAGCACATCTCCCTTCGCTCCCCTGAACTGGGTCATCCGAGCTAAGGACTTGAGAGTGAACAGACAGGTTTATGTTGAGATGCATCTACATGTTCAGCCCGTATCTGGTTTGCTAAATGTATCGTGTAGGTTAGCACACGTGGAAGCTGGGGCACTGGCAGGTGTGAGATCCAGGGAAGCTTTTAGCGGCTTAAGATGTTGCTGCCCACACCTACCTCGTCCCACTTCTCTATTGGGGATGAAAACTCCCCGGGTAAGGTCTGTAGAAAAAAAACCCTCTTCTCTGCTCATTATGTAAATAACTTCCATGGGAAGTCTCTTGTGTTAGCCTGAACCTGCTCATCAGCAGTTCTGCGGTGCTGGGGGTTCTTTACCCAAGCCGCTGATGTGCAGGAAGACGTTTTTGTGGATGTGCTCTGCTGCGAGTATTGCTACCCTGACAAGATACACCGAGGCAGCGTGATCTTCAATAAACTAACATCACAGCCAGTGGTTTCTTGTCAAAAGAAAGCGAGAAAGAGGGCTGTACACCAGTCGGCAGGCAAGGAACAGCTCTGTTCCCTCAACAAAAGAAGGGGCCCTGTTTACCTGCAGAAAAGGATAACGATCCTGCAAACTGCTGCCATTGTTCAGTGTTACCCACCGATGAGTATCCTTTAGAGGAGTGGAGCTGCAGTCCTCCAGAATGGTTACAAAAAATGAGTGGTATTATTTAGCCACCACAGGTTCCTCCTGGGGAGGTACCCAGTGCTGTGGGGAGTTGGAATGGGGCCGGCGGGTGAGGCTGGGCTGTGAAGGTTGCTGCTGCAGCAAATCACAGTCCTTCGCCTTCAAAGGTAGAAATTTTCCTTTTCTTTTTCTAGCGTGGTTCCTTTAGTACAAGCAGGGGAAGCAGATCCAAACGTGGCCAAATATTTAAACAGGTAAAAAAAAAAAAAAAAAAAAAAAAAAAGAAATCCCAAACCCTTACCCTGTACTACTGGAGTGTGCCTGGTACTGCTCCCTTAGTCTTGGGATAAAACTGCGGGGTTCTACCTCTTATTCTAGAATAAGATTTTTGAAGTTTCAACCAGCAGCTTGTTAAAAAGTATTCTTGCAAGGCCTGTATGTTTGCAGACAATGCTGCGGTGCTGAGGGAAGCAGTCACTTAACTTTCTTATTGAAGGTCATTTTGGAAATGGCTTCTCGTGTGGTCTCCCTTTGCCGTCCTTTACCTGCTGTCCTTGTGCTGTCACCGAATGTGCTTTGCTGTGCAGTTGTGCGTTGCTGGATAGAAACACGCTTGGTGTGAGAAGTGGTTTCACTGCTTTTCCCTTGGTTTCCAGACTGAGCGACTACCTCTTCGTTTTGGCACGTTACGCTGCAATGAAGGAAGGGAAGGAAGAGAAAATATATATAAAGCCTGAAGCGTGACTGGGAGCTGGAATGTTTGTTTCCTTGATCACGGGAAGCCAAATCCAGCAGAGTGCTTTCCCCCATCAAGGAAGGGGAAGAGAACAAGGCTGGATTGGCAACGTGAGCTGCCAAGAACTTCCAGCTTAAATAACTAGGACCTTGTTCATAAGTACTGCGAGGAGCACAGCTGTTCTGTTCACTGGGCCTTGTCCAAATATCCCTTGTATAACACTGCGGCGATGGCACCGGAGTTACCGTTTGCCCTGGGTTGGAGTTGAGGCAGGAGACTTGAAAGAACTACAGCTGATTTCTAGAGATGTCTTCATTTCCCTGGGCAGTGGCAGGTGCCGTGGAAAGGCTTTGACAGGACTCTGAGGAATGAAGAAGAGAAAACAATCAGCTTCTCTTTGTAAGTCATAATGCTCGTATGGAACAGCAACTGTGTAGAGATTCAGGAACTCTGTCCACAAGCTTTGAAATAATAAATGTGATTTACTTGTACCAAAGGGCCCTTAACTGTCATACTTTAATACCGAGCCCAGCATGCTTTTCTTTTTTAAGTTGCTTTCAATCCATCAGCCCTGGCTGAGGCTGAGCTGTGCAGATTTACAGGAATGCACTGAGAATTCTTTGGCTCTGGCTGCTTCTCTTTATGCATGTGAAGAATGTCTCTGTGCTAACAATCCAGCGCATTCTCTGCCAGGAACGGGGTTCACGCAGGATAGAGGGATTAAAGGAGGAAGGGCCAAATCCTACCGGTCATGTGCAGGCAAGATGATTCCACGCTTCTAAGCTCTCTTTAGGTAGCTGGGGTTAACTCCAGGTGGAGCGCGCAGACCCCTCTGAGTTTGGTCACAGCATCCCCCTCTGGCTGCAGGTACCAGCTGAAGGAGCGGAGCCCTCGTTTAGGTTTAGTATCTGTCTAGTGGGGACCACTCGAGTCACAGAGTTGCAGATAAGGGGGTTGTGAGGAGTAGCAGGGGCCTGGCGCCTCCTCAGCTGACAGCTAGAGTTGGGAGAGAGAGGCCGACACCTAAAGAGCTTCATATCTCACACACGTTAACGTCCGCGTCGACCTCGGGGGCGTCACTGTCACGGAGCCCTCAGCAGAGTAGATTAGAGCAATTCCTCCAGCTTGGAGAATCGCCGCAAACATCGCGATAGCAGAACGCAGTACTTCAATAGAGAAGACATCCTCTGTTCCAGCCTCCTGATGGACTGAAAACTGCCAAGAACCCGTATTCGGTGTGTAAACCAGTGCGTTAGAGCCCGCTGAAGGAGTTAACACCTTGCCACCCGTGTTGCATAGAGAATACAGACAATTCCAGCTTTGCAGTTAAGTCCAAGCCGCTTACAGCTTGGAAATGTAATTGGGAAGAACACACGTCAGCCGTGGCGGTTTAAGGCTTCCCCTCCTCGTATGGAGGAGCATCACGGAAACCTGTGGGCGCCGTCAGGTGATTACGCATCAAGGGTGCTTGTCCTGCACCAAGGGCAGCACTTTTAGTGGTGGGAGCTTTTCAGGCACTCATGTGGCTTCCTCTGTTCCATTATTTAAGTAGAAACAACCTTAAACTCGCTCCCCAAAAGAGTCTCTGGCTTTTGTGTTAACTTTTTAATCAGAGTGGGGTCAGAGTGAAGAATGCCCGGCGCTAATAGATACCGCTGTCTCATTATTCACCCCTTTTTTTTTTTTTTTTTTTTTTTTTTTTTTAAAACAGATATTTCATGGCTATTGTTAATGCACATTTTTCACAGAGTAATTTTCCAAGCCTTAGCCTGTAACACATCCCAATGACAAATGCTCTTGATTTGGACTGTACCGTCAGCTGCAATGTCACATCAGACATTTTCTCAATGCCTGCTCCAGACAGGCCATCCAGTTTTATGATAGCTCTGTCTCAGTGATCACTATTGAACCTTAAGAATCTAGAGGCTTTTCAAGTTTAATTGAATAAAATTCTTTGCAATATAAATTCTTCATGAATGCTATATAAATCAGTTCCCGGATGGATTTATAGTATTTTCTTTTTTTTTTTTCCAGCTGGGGGGAAAGAAATCTCACTGCTGTTTTGGGACCAAAGCTAGTATTGTTTTGATTGCAAGGAGAAATAAATTTAGCTACTACGTTTTAACGTGATGGAGAGATTAAATTTATTCGGGCGCGCTCTGCTTCCAGCTTCCCCCCTGCTTCTCCCTCTCTACCCAAAGACATCTGGGCAATTGTTTCGGTGGGGCAGAAGCAAAGGGGGTCTGGGGTGACCCTGCTGTTGCAGTTAAGCGGGCGCAGCGGGGCAGGGCTTGGATTTAGGAGCGCGCAGAGATGCCGCTGAGCGCGGTTGAGCAGAGCAGAGCTCGGCAGGGGCCACGCTTGGCCCTCGGAGAATTGCGAGGGCACGGTGTTTGTCCTCCGCTTCGCCACCTCATCGTGCAACACTCGGCTGCGTAAAAGGGACCTGTGCCCGAGGTAGACGGGGGAGCTGCTGGCCGTTAAGCCGCAGCGAGAATTGGGTGCTCAACCCGCAGCGCACCCTCTGCACGGGGCTGGGAGCAGAGGCCAGTGGCGGGGGGAGGCCGGGGCTGGAGCAGGGACCTTGTGCACCGAGTTGAGCGAAGAAGTTGCAGCCTGGCCGAGCTGGCGTCTGCCGACGGTCGGGGAGCAGCGTGCGGTAAGGCATGACAGCCTGGCGAGACACCGGGCAGGAGCGAAGTGTCACTAAAATGAAATACGGGCTTTAAAACAAATAAAGCTCCGTTGCTCTGGGTTAGCGTTGGTTTTTCCCAAGTCCTTTGTCCCCCACCCAGCAAATCCAGCCGTACAGCATAGGGATTCCGCTGCCTGCACCTCATTAATATAATGGGAGGAAGGCAGATGCTTTGTCCGTACTGACCGTATGCAGAGCCCAGCTACATTCCTGCCTAGCGGGGTTCCTTATTTATGATTACGTTGGAGCTGCCAGCGCAGACATATGTTGCTAAGGGTCGTTTATTCTTGTTTGTAAAATGTATGGCTGCTCCTAGCTTACACACTGTCAAAACTGGAAGAACTGGCCCCAAAATCTCTTGCTGCATGATTGGATCAGATGCCTGTACATCTGTTAACGCTGTAGGAGCTGTAAAATGAAATAAGTTTCACTATAACTCAAGCACCTCTATTACCGCCACAATGTGTGAGCAGCAGAGCCGGCTGCTGCTCTTGCAGAAATGACACAAACATACATTTTGCCAAGTCATATGTAAATTTATACATGGCAGCGCTTTCTCTGCGGAGGCACAGAAGGGAGGACCAGTGCGCCTGTGCCCCCACCTCGATAGGACCCCCCCGGCCCAGGGCTCGCCGCAGTGCTGCATCTGGAGGGCGAGATTTGGGGTGCACGGCCCCGGCAATGGGGAGCCAGCTGCAGTCCTGCACTCCTCCTCTCAAGCTGGAGGACCAGAAGGGACCACATCTGCCATCGCGTCAAGTCCTCTGCAGTCACAGGTCCCTGAAATACCCATTTTTGCCTGGAAGAGGTGAAGGAAAAACCCTCCCCACCCGAACAGCTCGTGCTGCAGCAAGGTAAGACCTGGCTGGAAAAGGGCAGGCGTGCGCTTAGGGTGCCCCAGGGTGAGAGCTGCCATCCGTCCCTGCATCAGACAAAGCCGAATCGGCCCATTTGTGTTGAGGAAAGGGCTGGCGTGGTCCCTCAGCTCTACCTCCGCCGCAGCCTGGCAGAAAGTGCCCACCTCTGTGCCCCGTCCCCGCTACAGCAGCACGGAGAGGCACAGAGTGCCATAGCCGATGCTGCAGCCACCCCGGGGTGAAGGCGAAGCTGCACAGGGTCCGTATCGAAGAACTCAACCTTAGAAACAGCCACAAAAGCACATTTCTGAACAGCGGGTTAAGTACCGCTCGCCCAGGAAACGGCAGTGCCAAACCAGTGCCGCGTAGGTCTGCGCTCCATTACCCGGTCAGGTCACTGTTGCGCTGTGGGAGCTGCTGTGTCGCAGTAAATGTGAGCGAATGCAAAAATAAGCTGCAGGAACACCTTATCTCATCCTGCTCAGGGATGCGGAGACCAGAGCTCTCCGGACCCTCCTCCCTCCCCATCCCAACCAGCCCCGGCTCGGAGCGCGGGCCAAGGGGTTGTGCAAAACAGTGGTATCAAACAGAGAGAATAGCAGTCTGCGGCGTGAGTCAGGGGCTTGGGACAGCCTTTAGGAGCAGCAAGAGGAGCTGTCAGCTCCGAAAACATGCCTGTGCCTGCACTGCAACAGCGGTGCCGTGGCCCCGGCCAGGGCCTGCCGGGAGCCGTGGTTGGGACACCCAAGCAGCAGGAACACCAGTCTCCGACGATCCCTCCCGGCTCTGCACACGGCGTGGTCCAAGTGCCTTGGCCACGGTCAGACTTCACCCTCAGACGACCCTCAGAGGAGCAGCGGCACGCGTAGAGCCAGCCCCGGCAAGACCGCAGCACGCGGCGCCGGCAAAGCAGGCATTTCGCAGGCCTGGCTGTTTGCTGCCAGCTTTCTGCCTTGGCAGCATCTGCTGTGGGGTTTCTTTTTGCTGTTTCTGACGGCGCCATATGCCTCCACGTCAAAACAATGGCGCTTGCACACTGACTGGGAGCCCTCTCCCTCGCTCCCACGGAGCTCCCTCTCCCCAGCGAAGCCCGAGCGCCGGCGGGGCCGGTCCCCATCAGAGCGGGCAGGGAGGGCTGCGGCGTGGCGCGGGAGCCGGGGGAGCCGGTCAGAGATGGGCCACGCCGCCACGCACCAAACCTGGACTCGGGGGCTTGTATTATTATAATATCATTATTAACAACAAACTCCATGTCGGCTCCAGTACTTGGTCCTTACATACTCGGTCTAAAATAGAAAGCGCAGCCTTGCCCCACAAACCCACACCTCCCCTATGGCTCTTCGCCCTCCCCAAACCAAGAGGTGTCTGAAGCCGTTACCCTAGAGATAGGACGAGGGGGAATGGCTTCAAACTGGAAGAGGGCAGACAGAGATGAGATATGAGGAAGAAATTTGTCACTCTGGGGGTGGTGAGACAGAGGAACAGGTTGCCCCGAGAAGCTGTGGCTGCCCCATCCCTGGAGGTGTTCAAGGCCAGGTTGGACGGGGCTTGGAGCAACCTGGGCTGGGGGGAGGTGGCCCTGCCCAGGGCAGGAGGGGTAGACTAGATGGCCTTTAAAGGTCCCTTCCCACTCAAACTATTCTATGATTCCGTCAATTCTTAAAAACGTGGCTATACTTGTTCTAGATTCAGGATCAGATCACCCTGTGTTAGACATTTATTTATCTAGGTGTAATTTAAGGCATATGGATTTAAATGAAAAAAAAAAAATAATGGAGGGTATAAGAGATTTTATAAGGCACAAATGAAATTCATAATGTCCTGTGGATAAAGTCTGCTTCCCACACAAAAGCTAGAGGATTACACTTTAAATAAGTTATATCCACTTAGATATACAGTTGGAATCTGCTGCAGAACCTCCTCTCTGTGGTGCTACAGAGACACACCGAGCACCAGAGACAGAGCTGGGTCAGGACGTCAGCCCTGGCAGACATCGAATAGGAAAATGTGACAAGGTACCAACAGAATAACAAAGCGAACACGTAATGCCTGAGCTGTTAACGAGAACTGTTTAAAAAGAAAATTATTTCTTCTTCCTTGCAGCCTGGTTCCTACTTTTATGACCTCCAGCAAGGAAATAACCAATTACGTCAAATCCCTTTCACTCCAATCCCAGAGCTCCTCTGTGGCGGATAAAAATCTCTCTTACAGCCCAGAAAAAAACGTGATACCCAGGAGCCCTTTCCCGGCTGCACAGCTTGCCGTAGTTCCCAGCTAAAAGATGTTGCAGTACATTATTAACAAGGTGCTGACCTCCCAGTTTCCCCACGTTTAAAAAGACTGGGAACTGCACCTATGTCAGACCTGTGGAACGGCCCCGACTTTCCCCCTGCAGGATCCAGCAGGCAGCACGCACAGCATCAGCCCTTTGCCATAGAAGTTGCTACAAACATAGGATCGCAATTTTAAGAACAGAACTAAACAGAAAATAAGACATTTTTTGAGCCTAAACATCTTTTAAAAGTTGCAGGTATTTGAATAAATGGACAAATACTTTTAATTCCTCTACAAGATACCCGAAGCAGTGACAGCTCATCCATACAAACTGCAACCTATTATTTCCCCGGATATTTAACGTGAAAATCCACCACAGTTGCGAGAGGGGACAGAGAGCTGCATCGATGCAGCGGAATGCGCTCTCACACCTCCACTACCTTCAACCTCAGCAGCAAGTTCATTCACGCTATCTTAAATTGTGCTGTTTGACTTGAGTTTTGGCGGGCTTCTCGGTCCTGTGCAACGCTAAGTTCCCAGCCAGCAGCCACCAGCGAGAGCCGAGAGGGAGCTGAGCGCCGCCGGCCCTCGCCCGGTCG